AAAACAAAGCATTGTATCCCCACAGAGCAAGACAGCAGAAATTGTAGCAGGTGCTGATTCTATCCATAAGAGTTTTTCAGCATTTTTATAGAATAACAGTTGAGTAGGAAAATAAATAAAGCTGTTTTAAAGTGAATAGTTAAAGAACATACATTATGTTATTACTTTTGTGAGCTCTTCCAATATTTTCACACCAACGGTAACCAGAAATATCATATACAAGTATTTCTTCCAGAGAGAAATAATTCCATCGCCGTATTCCTGGGGGGGAATTAATTAATTAATTAAAAATACTGCTGCAGAACATTCATTATTTGTAAATAGTAAAGTGCTCTTTACCTCCTTGGACCCCATCTTTATTAACCAAAGAACGAACAAAATAGTCAATTTCTGGATATGGTGACTCCTGATAACCTTCCATGGAATCTGTTAAAACAAAAGCCACATCTACATACCATTACTGGTTTTGCCATTGCAATGTGTAATTGTAACGCTGTTACACATTATAGAGACCACAGATAGAAAATGTACGTGAATCACACTAAATCCTTAAATAAAACCAGGGATAAATCCACTGTTAATTTCCTGCAGGTCTTTAAATTGCTACTTCCACTACCCCCAAGGGGACAAAGCAGGACAGGTATGGGAACAGGAGGGTAAATGGCATTCGTGTGCCGCAGAGCATCCATCAGTAGAGCTGTACTCTGCCTCCTGCAGAAAGCTAGCTGAGGAACCCCCCCCCCGAGGTTATCAGGCCTGTAAGTCATAGTACATCTAATTCAAGAGTACTTTTTTTTTTTACTATACAGTAGAAAAGGCTTGGGGTACCTCTACTGCTTCTGGTAGGTTTACTGTTTAAAAAAGCCGACATTTTTCTCCCCTCCTCTGAAAATTCAGACGACAGAACTTTTGTGTCATCCCTCACTCTGAAGAAAAGAGAGAATACAAAGGAAAAGATGTGATTCTTGCAGCATAACCTGGTATGGTATAACATACTGTAACATCTCATCGTAAGGCATAACGTAATGTAGTCCTGGGCCACCGCCTCTCGGTGGCCCCGCTGGAGCAGGGGGTTGGCCCAGGTGACCTCCAGCAGTCCCTGCCAACCTTACCCAGTCTGTGATTGTGTATGCTACCTTTCGCTGTCCTGCTAGCACGTTTCCTCCTCATTTTGACAGTTCCCTCTGCCCTGCAGCAGCAGAGGGCAGGGCTTCCTCCTCCAGAACAGCAAAATTTGCTGCCTGGAAAAAATCCCAGGACCCAGCCATTTGAAGACTTCTGGCCCACACTTTTACAGCAGTATTTGCTCTAGATGTAATATTTATGCATATATACCCTTTGAAAGGTTTCAGTTTTTTTGTTTTTCTCTCTACAATGAACTACTTTTCCTTGCCATATTACTAGCTGGAAGCCAGATGATCACAGAAGACTAAATTCAACCCAGCAGAATTTCTCATCCATATTTATGACAGACTCGGCTGATACCTAGGATCTGAATACACGACACGATTTATGCTACGGGGTTACAGGCATCAGTTCAGGATAATGAACGTTTCAGGACATAAAAACTGCAGTCACAACAAATACATGTTTTTAATAAAAATATTATACATAATATCATTCAGACAGACGTACAATTTTAACCTTCTTTCTGCTGCAGTAATGATTAGGATCATCTTAAGACGCAGTCAGTGCAGGGTAAGATATATCAGAGGTTTAGATTAGATACAGAAAACTTCATTATTGTATGTACCGGTATCCAATCTAAGGAGGTATCTCTACCAAATGGGAAATCTGGTATGCAAGTAAACATGTACAAAAATCCTTTTAACTTTTTTTCATACTTTGGAAAATATTTATATTCTTCATATTTAATTGACTTGAAATCTGTATTTTTTCCTTTCAGAACTATACAGAATTCGAGCAAACTTAATAATGGTTACATTTCGGCATTTTGAGTGTGTGTAGAGAAATGAGGCACAACTTAGAAGCCGTACCACATGTTCTGTGGTCTTTAAACATTTGAAGATAGGTTAAAAAAAAAAAAAAAGTCCCAAGAAATTTTTTCTTCAAAAACAAGGAATTCTACTAGAAACTCCTAAATTACACTGTAACAATGTTCATGGAATAACTGCCCATTGATAGTAGTGATTCATAACTGCTGCAGGAAAAAAAATCACTAAAATACATATTTAAAAATATTTTAAATTCCACCAGAATTAAGCAATTACCTAACGTTGCAGATCAAAGAGGAAAGAAAATATGCTTCTTCCAAGCAAACATTCTCTTCACAGTTAGGGATAAACTTATTATCCTCTGCTATCTTCAGAATCACATTTTTTCCTGCTTTTGATGATTTATACATCCGGAAATTTCTATTCTTTGTATAAACTCCTACAGGAAAACAAATATTTCTTAACATAACAATGCTGGCTAGGATTTAAGATACACTAGCACTTGTAAATTAAACAATTTTCCTCAAACCCAGCTAAGGGTCTAAGGAATGGACAAAAGCTATTACTGACTTCGGCTCACATCCGATAGGAGAAATGCAACAAAGCAAGATCATGCACACGTGTACATTTTTTACGTTATAGAAGAATTAAGACAAACACTCAACACCACTACACAGGCATTTTAGTCATTCTGACATTATCATTGCTAAAAGGTTCCCTTCAGTATAAGAAATTGGTGCTTTCACATTAACTTTGTGAAATACAACTGTGCATAAAAAGCTGCAGAATTATTTCAACAAGGAAGGACTTCATATTCGTCAAACTTTCTGTTTTCTGTGGACCAGACACCACTTGTCTGAAGCAAGTATCAGGAAAATTTAATTCCAATCTCAAAAACAAACAAAAAAATGAACAGGTATCTTAAACATTGCCTAATCTAAGAATTTATTGAGGAGGTAAATGCTTTATTTGTGGGTTGCATTTAATTTTCATGAAGGTAAAAGAACTTAAAGAACCCATATAACAAGAGTGTCATATAGCTTTCTATCACTGCAGCCTCCTGATGTAATTCAGTATTCCAGCTATTTTGATTTTAGCTTTCCATTTTTGGGGTAATGTGTGTAACAGAAATATTGAGGATGGTTAATTTTTGGGGACTAACATCAAATTCTTAAAAGGTGACACAGTAAACAATTTGGTTTTCTTTAATTTCTGTTCATGAATATGCTTGAAGGAATTTTGAACAGTCGGTGCAAAGTAATCCTTCTGAATCAGTAATGGAGAAGCCTACTTACTATAGGGCCAGCTTTGGGATTACATTTCAACAAATCAGACTGAAGAGGCCAGCAAGAAAAGTGATCCTGAATTCCATGAGAAGAATGTGAAGGAATGGGGGTTCTTCAGAGAAGTTTTAGAAAAAAACAAGATAAAGTCCTCAAGTACATAACATGCTGCTGTACAACAGCATGCTAAGCTATTTTTATTTCACTGAGGGCAAAAAGCAGAAAAAACAGATATGGGGATGGACAAGGGTGTAACTTTCAAACTTTAGTTTGACTATGGGTGTTGTGCTCCTGGAGATTTTTACCATTTTAATCTGGGCCATGAAGTGCCCAACCCAAAATTTCTCTTATTCTGTCATTAAAACCTAACAACTGCCATTCCAAACAGGGGAAGAAGGCTCAATTCATACATGTGGAATAATACACAAGGCCACGCCTGTAAGACTCATTCCACAATTACGCAGCTTGTAATTCAACTGATACGACACAAATGCAATATATGCTATCCCTTTTTAATCCAAATAGGAGGACTAAGTCCTTAGGAACAAAATTAATTAGAGAGCCTTTTGGGGCAAGAGTTTCTTCAAACTACAGAACAAAATAATTCAATGTAGTAATACAAGAAGTTCCATGGACCGAGAATCTAAGGCTCCTTGAAAGTACAGCATTTATGATCACATTTTCAGCACATACTTGCTTTAAATTCTGACCATAGGGACAATAATAAGAACACTCTTGTTCTTATGGTCTGTAATCGAAGATTAAGGAACATCTCATTTCTTAACCTTTGTTGTATCACGAAGAGGTTTAAAAGCACATTTACCTAGATCCACAAAAAGTTGCTTGTCGCCTTCTTTATCATTCACTATTAGAAAGGAAAATTCCAAATTTTCTCCGTGGTGTGATGTTGTCATATCCTTTGTTTTGCAAGCAATAGTTGGCCAGCCATTGGAAGCATCTTCAATGGCTGTGAGGTTTGTAAGAGAACCATCTAATCCAACTTCTTCTGCAGAACACTGGAAAATGTGTCCTGCTGCTTCTTCTGGAATCACAGCAGCAGTTTTACTCTCCATTAACCTTATGGCGGGCTGCAAAATGGTTCTCACAAAGTTACCTGAAAAACAAACAAAGCCACCCAAAAGCAGCTAACATAATTTCTGAGTCAAGAAAGAGCTTAACAGTTCCTGTGCAAACATTTTTCCAAAACAGCCAAGATGGAAGTGGTTGGAATTTTTTTTGGTTTTTATCCCCTTCTGGATTTCTTTTAAAAAATCTTCTGACCAGCCCAGTGTACAAAATGGTTAGTAACTAAGAAACCCATGCTTGGCAAGAATTTTTACTAAACTTTTTTTTTTTTTAAAACACGAGAAAATAAACAGTTGTGCATACATTAGTTGTATCATACAGCCACAATCTTCCTTCCCCTTTGCAATTTTACTACCGAGAACAAAGAGAACTGAGAAGTGAGATGGCTTGGCAATCACCTCATTACAAATAAGGACAACATAACAAAACTGAAATGCATAGGCTGTCACTACAATTTCCCAAACTAAATTCAAAGTTCCAGATAAAAGTGCAAAATTGAAATAAATGTCTTCGGTAGCTTTCAAAAGAATTTCTCCTACCCATCACACCACCTGTACCACTGCAGTTATTAAAGCCTCTGATGGACAAGATCTCAAGCCGCTCCCATGGTTGGAGCACAAACAATCTTGATTTAATGATTGATACAAGTAAGACTTTTGCACTGAAATTTCTGTGAACCTGAATTTTCCACTAGAATATCAGAAACTTACTGAACAAGTTCAGTTTGAGTCTTCATGCTAGCTTAGCAGGAACATTTCTGCATATAAACTAGGCTGTTAATAGTAAGACTTATTCAAATGCTTAATGTAGGACCACTTTGTTAATGACAGGGACACCAAAAAAAAAGTCACCAAGGTCCTTTATAAAATGCAGTTTGACTTAATATTTCAAGTAGCACTTACTGAAACTCTTCAATACATGAATAAAGCACTCCTATAGCTTTGCTATTACACAACTTATCCTTTTATCCAGTCATAGGTAGTTATTAATCATTTAGCTGAGTATTTTTGCAGTAGTTAATGACAGCATGTGATGACATTAACAAGCTCAGATTTAGGATTCAGAAGGGCTTGTGATTGTCCCTCTCACTACTGCTTTCCCTAATTTCACTTTCAGAATGATTTAAAAGGTTTACTTGCAGCCTCATGGTGTATTAACTGATGTAAGAGTTTGACCAGGGCTTACTCAAACAACAAATTACTTTTACAAAAGTATTTTGTAATGAGTTTTCAAACTCCTAGTATTGTAATTCAACTCCTGTTGTACCTCCAGGCTCTGCTAGATGGTAACCAGACACACAAATATAAACCATGGCCAAATTACTTGCACGGAGAAAGAAGAGAATAGAATAAATACAGATGTGAAAGAAAAACTATGAAGTGGAAGGAATACTGGCAAGGAGGATTCTACAGTTGGATGAAGCTTCAGTGGGGAACCTGAAAGAATATGAAATATAGGTCCTCTTATGCTACATATCAGCAGAATGACTCAGTGTATCAAGCATCAATATCACCACCCTCATAATCCATTACAGGACTAGTGAGGCACACAAATGATTTATAGTCATAAACAGCATTTTAACCCTGTGTGTTCAAATACGCACACAGAGTTTCTTAGGTTTATAACAATAGTTACTCGGATCTTCAGTCCAGGGAGATAATGTACTTTTTTCAGAACCAAACTCTATTGCAATTACCATAAAAGTTAAAGCATCTTTAAAAGTCCTGGTTGGCTGCTTTTTTTGTGTGTGTAATTAACTAACAACCACTCTGGTGTCAGAATAGAAAGGGTTCTGTCAGTGCAAGGTTATTTTGGGAGCTGGTTCTTTATCATTCCCACACACCTTTGTTTTCTCTCTTCTCATTTCTTCCAACTGGTCAGATGTGAGAACCAAACCCTGCATTTCACACTTTTGATCCTTGACTGCATTTTGTATTTTTATATTTGGGATTTGTCAACTGTACAGATCAATGTAAATTCACCACCTCCACAGCTTTCCTGTTGACCTACATGATCTCCTCTGCTTTCTTACATAAACTATGAAGTCAGTCCCTGTATTTTAATTTTAACTAGTAACTAATTCCAAATATTATATACTAAATGTTTTTAATCATATTTAAGTCCATGCACTTTGTGCATACCTTCTGACATAAAATGCTTATGAAATAATATCACCCAAGATGTGACAGTTCATATCGCCTTCTGACATAAAATGCTTATGAAACAATATCACCCAAGATGTGACAGTTCATATCCTATTTTATCCCACATAAATACCACTAACTCATCTTAAAGTATTTTTTTATTAGATATAACACCACAATGATGAATTTTTAAAAAAAGACAACACTTGAATGTGTCTGAAAAGAATACATTAACCCTTTTAAGTTTAATAGTAGACAAAATCTTTCCGTCATCTCAAGGAATATATATATTTTCATATAGATTATGTAAAATTACTTTATGAAGTTATCTGCATTTTTAGTTATTTACCAGAGCAGAGGATTTTGCACAAAATACAAAGCTAATATGCTTAAGCCAGGTTTGTCAAGCAGGTTACCTGCATTAATGAAAAGTCTAGAGGGTAGTAGTCTTGGTAACATGCATGAGTTTAACACTGACATTTACATATCTCAATTATATAAAAAAAAAAAAATCAAATTTTACTGTAAATTCAACATCTTGTTGAAAAATACAAAGGCAGAACATGAATACACAATCTCTAAATATATTTTAAGTCTGACGGTAAACATGTCAAATTCACATCACAGCGGTGACACAGAACACTTAACTAATGGGCTAGAATAAGCAGTTTAAGCTTCTACTGAAAGAACTGACTAACATAATTTAGTCATCAAGATCACAGGCTAAAATTGCTGTCATACCAAATGACTTATCATCCATGTATTACTTCAGAGTTTTACAGTGGCAGAGGAGTTAAAGACCATACTTTTGAACTAAAAATTGCAGTAATCCCATTTAAGTCTTTGGGGTTTGTAGCTGTTACCACAGTGTCACATAAGAAATAACTGCTGTGTGTCATGCTTGGGGCTGGAGCCAATATTATAAACATTTGCTTATAACTTTGACAATCTGCTTAGCTCGCCATGTGAGCTACTCCTCAAAAGGTTTAGGGACACAGATTTCACTGCTCCTAAGAATGAGAAATAGGTTTTTTAATGTTGAAAAAAGCTGGAAAATAAACGGTTCTGAGAAATCCTATGGCCTCTCTGTGTTGGAGTAAGGATCTGAATTTTGGCCTGAAGTGATGCTTAGGCCATGGACCATGTGTGTATATGAAAAATATTTTGGGAAAAAAAATTTGTACCTGCATGCAGGCCTACAGGATCCAGCCTCCCCTTACAGTTTGCTCTACTCCTCCAGCTGTTCCTACAAGACCTTTCAGAGACGATTCCTCAGAGCAACACAAAACATATGTCAACCCTACACAACTTTGATCCAAGAGTACATGTATTCTCCCCAAGAAGTAACTAGACAATTCCAAAACAAAGTAAGATTTTCTCTAATGCTGTACTGGGCTAGAAAGAAGCCCAGCACTGTGTCATTAATGATAGCATCACTGTGCTGTCATTCATTAAGTACTAAAAGCAAAAAGCCCATCTTCCCTGTGCTCTCTACAATCCCCTGCTAGGACATACACAGTGCACAGTAAGAAGCTACTTAAACACAGGAGGTATACAAAAAGAAGAAATACAGTATAAGCTTTACTCAAGACTGGAATGAGGGAAGGTGCAGAGCTAGAAAAGAGGTTAGGTTGAGAAAGGAAAAGCAACACTGGGCATGAAGACAGTCAGACAGATTGTGACCAAGCAGACAGGAGGATAAAAGCAGGAACCTGAGTGGGACCAAAATTACAAACCCAACATCCTCAACTCTTCCTATTCTACTCCCAGTGGAAACCCAGTAACAAAGTACATAATTTTGTGTAATCCTGCTGCTCTTGTCACAGTTCCTCCTGAACACAAACAGTAGAGCTAAATGTCACAAATCCAAATTTCATCTCTTCTAATAACCCATGAGATTATGAATATGGTACTATATAACCGTATTTCTGCTTCCTCTCCCTCACCCTATTTGTTTGTTTGAAACAAACACAATAAGGAACAAAGTTTACAAAAAACACTTAAATATTAAGAAATGACAAAACCAAGGCTGCAGGTGCAATGTTAAATAACCCAAAGTTCTGCATTTGTAGGTTGATACAGATTTTCATTCCACCACGGGGCAAGCTGTTTTCCACCACTTCCTGCTTCACTCGGACAAAACTCAGCTGATATTCTGTTGTGCTCTCATTGTTCAATATATGTCTATAAGCCTCCTTTACTGCACACCATACAGAATATATATACAAGAAGAAGAAACTATGAATTTCAACATTAACTTTTCTTAATGGTCACCACTAGCATCTCAGTGCTTCACAAATAGTACTTTAAAAGTATGTTCAAAATACTTCTGTGAAGAGGTATTATTATACTTATTTTAAAAATGGAGTCAAGACAACCCTGAACTGGCAACTCTTTGTGTTGGAGTTGCCATATCCCATGAAATCCCAACTTGCGTCAACAATTAAAATTGCTTTTGGCTTTCTCTTCATCATGTTTATGCACAGGTTGCTTGAAATCATCTTTGTCCTGCCTTTCTGACCCTGTGCTGAGCATAAACCAACTGTATTTAGGGCCAATAATCATAGCTTTAATTGTTAAGACTGACATTAACCTGAAAATTAAGGAGTCATAGTCATACTGTAAAACAATTCTCAAGCCAAGATCCAGTCTTGCCAGTAGTTTCGTAAATAAAACATACAGACACAAAAGAAGTTACATTTTTTGTAAACACAAATGCTAAGTATAGAGAAACAGAAATAGGTAGTCATTTTTGCTGGGAATACATATTTGTTACCACATATAATTCCATTAAAAGAAATATTCAAATGTGAGGTGGCACTGTACAAAGTCAAAACCTCACCTTTTATTTCTAGGTGTAAGAGAAAAGAACACACTTACCAACATGAACATTGTCCTTAAACACAGTCTTTTGGGGTAGAAATATTAAGTGTCGACTAAATTTTTCATCAGTACTGGAATCTAAATTCAAGACATCTTTGGACGAACAATTTACATCATAAAGTTCTTTTAATTTTTGGCTGACAAGCTGAAATTATAAACATTAATTAGGCTATTTTCTCTAGCATTTTTAATAGTGGTATCTATAAAACCTAATACAAATGCAGATTCTACATTTTTTTCACCTTTTTTTCATGGTTTTTTCCCCTCATTTTGAGCATACAGTTAATTTAATTCAAACTAACTCATAACATAGCAAATTTTAAAACCTAATATAAATGCAGATTCTACTTTTCACCTTTTTTTCATGCTTTTTTCCCCTCATTTTGAGCATACAGTTAATTTAATTCAAACTAACTCATAACATAGCAAATTTTAATCAAATTTGACATAGACTGTATTTCCTGAAATACGCAAATCACTGCATATTCTAACAGTGATAAACTGAGCACATTTTCAGTTTTTCAGGTCAAAGTCTAATTTAGTGGCTTTATCTTCTCGTTTTTTCCACCACAAAGTTCACACTCACAGTGACAAAGTTTGTAATTTAGGCTAACCTAGAATGGTAGAGGCTATCATGATACAAAGGGTTGGTATGCTAATTCACTGTTACGATTTAGCAAATTCACTGGTATGACCCAATGAACACTAACTAAACAGAAAACATAAGATGTCTGGCTCTAAAATAGCTCTAAAACCTTCCATAAGCTAAGCTTGTGATTACTCATGTTTAGGACTGGGACTCAGTACTTAAGGGTCTGGAAGTTTAGGGTTTTAGCATCTCAGATCCCCCACCCAGCAAATCCAAAGGTCTCTTTTTAACCTGATGAATCTCTAGATTTCAGAATTGATCCGCAATGGAGTAAACCCCTCCAGATTCTGTATCAATGAAGGGTTCTTTACGAAAGAATGACCTCAATCATCTTTTTCTTTCTTTCCTCTCTAGCTAGGGACATGTAAGCATCAGAAGTCTCACAAATAAATGGCCAGTCACAAAGAGATTTTATTGGAACAGAAGATATTCTTCTAAAAGCCTGCTTTATTTTCCACCTCTGTCATATTGAATTTACAGTGGAGCTCATTTTCCAACCAAATTTGCATTAAAATGGAAATTTGCACTATTTAATAACATTAATAATTAGCAAAGATATTTAACTTTAGGTACTAAATTGGTAAGTGCAGTCACCTGATGTTCTCTACATCATCATTTAACTCAACTATAATGAACTGCCATCTGAAGACACCTAAAATCAGGAGGGATTTATCTAAGGCTTCATGTATGACTGCACCAACTGGCAAAGGAAACAAACTGAGGGATAACTGAATGGAACTTTTATTGATGCCACTCTGAAGAATACCTAAACATTCCTTCAGTTTTACAGCTTTGAAGTGGCCGAGCACATAAAACAATCTGCAAAAGCAAACTTACCGTATCAGTAAACCTATAGTGAATACAAGCATTCCAACAACCATCATTCTCTATTTTTTCCTTTCACTTAAAGGAGAAAACCTTTGCTTTAATTAAAACGGTACTTTTTACTTCATTAAAAATAACCACTAGGTCTTAAATTCTTTTTCTTTTTACTACAGAATAATCAAGATAAAGTGGTAAATACTCTGGTTTCATATTAAATCAACAACAAACTGATATTAATCTACAACACGACTTTCCTCCAGCTTACCTCAATTAACTTTGCAACCATACTCTTGCCATCTGCACCAGGATTTGCAGGTTTGTAGAACTCCAAATCAAAATAAAGTTTGCAAGCATCTTTTTCAGGAATTACTTCATAGCAATGCATAAGACTTGTTTTATAACCTTTCCTAAGGAAAAAGAAAAATCACCACTTCTCGCGATAAACATTATACATACTTATCAGTTGCAAACAAGGATCCCACAAGTCCTAAATATTCTTTTATTTTTCAATCAATCACCCATATTAAAAAAAAGTAGCAGCCCTATAATGCTTTCAAAAATTTATAATTAATTTCAGCATCAAATATCAACAAAGATATTCGTCTGGCCTAGAATTTAAGTTTGTAAGGTATTCTTCTCCCTGTCCTCCGAAGTCTTAAAATAAATACTGTCAACAGAAATGCTGTTGAGAATTTAAGGAATGATGGAAAGTACAGTAGAAAACTTATTATAACTCACATGTCTTAAGCACTAAAAATGAGATTACACAGACCTTTTTCCAACTAAATTAAAAACTAATCTCATTCTCAAATTGAGAAAAAAAAAAATCTACTTTTCTTATAAAAATTGACTTTTAAATTTCTTTCACTTTATAACCAAACGTTTTATTGTAAATCAAAAACTTGGGGAAAAAAGTTCAGCACATGGTCAAATTGTCAATACTTGAAACTACATCACCCAAATACAAAACCATAAATTAGTAACCGGACATTTATATTAATGCCCATTTGAACTGATATATGACTACTCATAGAAATATGTTTGCGTCATATGTTGGTATGATCCCCTGAGGAAAGCTGACAGCGAAAGCAAATCTACTGCTACTAGATTTAAGTTCAGTTGACGGGGTCCTTAATTAACAGGAAGTAATGGCAGTCTGCAACTCAAAAGAAAGCTGAAACCCACTATAGAATAGATAGGTTTGTCCCTATGAAGATTTTCTCCATGGCCAAGATCAAACTGCAGGCCACCCATTACAGTTCTGTGCTAGTCAGAGCAGCAGATGGCTACTGGGGATAGCTCTCCAGTAACAGCTATTACTAGATAATAGTATATCCAGTATACTACTATCTTAGAGTAATCTATAGGGTACCTTTTCAAATACTCACATGTAATAAAACCAAAGCTCTTTATATGTTGTCACAAGGTAAAACCTCTGTCCACTTTGTGTGTTCTTTTCCAACGCAAATACATGAACATCCTTTTAAAATAAAAACATGGAAGTTTTTTTTTATCCAAATAACCAATTAAAGTCTTCAGAAGTTCCTATTTGGCACTAATTTCTTTGGTGAAAGGTTAGTAAATATTAGCAAACTGTATGTAGATCACTTATCTCTTTTCAACCCAAGTAGCATCTGTTTTTAATTAAGAACATCATTCTGATTTCAGTTACTCGAGTGAAATTTTGAAGCTTTTCTTTGCTGTGCATTAATGTAAACTCTGTTTTCTCTGTAAAGTCTTCTTTTTTTCTGATCAGTGGCAAGTGCATCTAATGAGAGGAGGAACAATGTCCTGAAAGGGAGAGTCTTATGGATACGATGGCAGCATATAGCTTTATAGCAAACATTCTTTACACTCTGTATTATTTAAATCCAAAAATGGAGATCTGAAAAGCAAATAAACAAAAAAACCCACTGCCAAGCAATTGAGACTGCATTTTGCAAAACACTGTCAGGATTACTGAACACCTAAAACAGTGGGAAGAAACCCTGGTACTTTCTTTAAAAACAGCAATCAATCTGAAAAGTATTAAATGCAGAGAACTGAAAACACAGGATACATTTTCCATAACATTTATTTGGTTCATCACTTCTTATCATCTGAACTTGCTACTCTGATGCCATTGGAAAGTTGTATTGTTTTTATTTTGTCTCTGCCTCCTGTTTATCTCATTTTCTTCCTTTGTTTTTTCCTCCTTTCTTCCTACTCAACTCTCACTACCTTCCTATTCTCCTGCCAACTTTGACAGCTTCCTTATCTTCAGAAGGAACAAATCTATCACTACAATGTTACCAAAAAGCACTTTTAATGTCAGAGGTTAACACCACGTATCAATTGATATGTTAGAACTAGTATTTCTTAGAGCTACCTCCAGTGTAGCATGATCTCCTACAAAGACAAAAAAAACCCAAAAACCAATTTGCTGTTTCAGGATTGGGGAGAATAAAAAAAAAGAAAAAACCCGTCTTGCAATCTGATAAAGACTTTACTGTCAACCAAGCTTTTAAGTTAAGGTCAACCTTGAAAGTACCTAAAGAGTAGAGACATTCACCTAACAAATAATTTACCTCTTTGCAGGTTTTTACATAATTGAAAGCTTCAGCCTGATGACAAAATATTTTCCAAACAGAGGATGGCAGAAAGGGTTTGGACAGTTTTGGTCTATAAACTGGAGGAAGAGGGTTTCTTTCATAGTGAGATGCTAGTTCTTCCACTTTCTTGAGTCTTTCTTCCCATTTGCTCTTCATTTGTCCTTCTTCCCATTTTCTCTTCATTTGTCCTAAAGCAATTACGACTAGTCAAATCAGTATCAGTTTCTGTTTGTGACTTTTAATACATCCTGTACTCATCACTACTTTTGATTCTGGTTTTGTTGAGCATACTTTATTTATTAACTGAGAGTAGTGAATATTCTGAATCAACACCCAACCTTGCTATGATACTCATTTTAACATTAAATCTTTCCACACAGATTTGGAATTAAAAGATCTTCATATTAATACTATCAAAGATAAACACAACAGAATAGACACAATAAGGGAAGGCCTAAGAAGTTTCATCTTTGTTTATAGAATGGCATTACATTCCTCCTCAAAAAGTATACAAACTGTGTTAACTAGCCACACAACATTAGTAAGGAGTGAAAAAATACTACTATTTCTGCTTTATGGTTGGAGAGACAAATGAGATAATTAATTTGTAGGGGTAGTACAGCACTTCAGTTCCTGAGAAAAATTCAGATTTCAAAGACTCTAGCTCTTGAGCTGTGTATCTCAAAGTAAAAGAACTGAAATCCAAAATGAGGGCTCCATTCTCCACTGCTGACCTTTGCTATTGATCAGTAATACTTTTGCCTGCTTTAAAATCTCATATACTTTCTTGCAAACTAAAGATAGCAATCTTCTCTCTGTTCAAGAAATAGCACGTGATACAGTAATGCTTGCTATCTTGCAACCTTTAAACTTTTAGTCACATAAAGTAATCAAAATGCTACAAAGTAATGTAGTAAAGCATAAACACACATTAACATACATACAATTATTTGTAACTTTAATTAACTTTTTTTCTGGGAAAATTCATTGCCCTCCTGAACACCTGCAAATCGGTAAAGAGCATTGCTAAGAAACTGAAACAGAGGAAGAGGGGCAAGAAGTAAAAAAAGATGAAGGTGCATCTTTTTGTTCTGCTCAGCATAACCACTTACCAACCCTTGGTTCTCAAAAAAACCTCCCAGTTGCAATGAAAGACAAAAATGAAACCAAATATACTCAAAAGTATTCAAACCTTTAACAAGTTGGATCTACAAGGTGAGTTGAAGCATTTAAATATCCTTGTGGGCCCCGAAGCCCAAATTTTAGATCCTCTGAACCCCCCTCCAAGTTTTCCACAGTAAAGGTGGACACCTACACTTCAGCCCATGGTATGCCTAAGCCTGCCTGTGTTTTGACAGTTTAGTGCCTATGTCAAGTCTAAATAACAGAATGTTTTTTCTCTTGCAGGGCTCAGACATTTTCTCTATACACCTTGTCAGTCTCCTGACCTGTGAATTTCCTCCACTGCCTTCCTTTTCTTGCAATTAGTTTCTTCTTTGGGAATGAAAAATGAAATTATAGACAGCAATCAGTGCTTCTCAGAAGCGCTAGCAGAACCCTCAGTTTCATTTTGATGCTGTGGGCTCTGTTGTAAATGAACTGGGTGCAAAAGGCATTCCCTACATCAGCTCTTACCCGCAAGCTGACCATTAAAAAGAAGGGAGGCAAAGGACAATTCCCATAATTCTCTACTCATTTTAAACTTCCTAGTTAGATGAGGACATATTTTTGCAGAAACACAGCTGGGAGGATATCTGAACCTGGGAGAAGGCTGATGACCCTTACTTTAAACTGAGATCTGTCACTGTTCCTGCAGTCCAAACACTCTTGGATTCTCAGCAGCCCAACCTGTCAGGTCCTCTCAAGGTAACTTCAGTTCCTGTATCAGCTATACCTATCACATCTATTTACAGCACATACAATTTACACCTACAGACTACGTGTAACTACAGACCAGCCTTCTAACTTTACTGGGAAATTCCCACTTCATTGTCCTCTCTTCTGTCTCACCAGAAGTAAGGGGAGCAATTATTTTTATTTTACTTCCCAGAAAGAAATTTTGTCACTGACATGTTTGGACATCAGTGTTTTTGACTCAGCAGGATGATCACATGAAGACCTCAGGAAAATGTATCTTCTGGGAGATGAGTCAAAGAACTTGCCATTTCATTTCCCCCCTTTGAAGGAAGACTATTTCTTTTTCAATGACGAGGACAGTGGACATCTTGTATTTTTATACATTAGTTGGTTGGTGCTTTTTTTCTTTAAACAAATGGACTCACCATTTCAGAAGTGGCAATTTTCTCCCTTGTGCTACAGGGGAAAGACAAACACAAATGCATGATTTCATCATATGTGTCCTCACATTTTTGTAAGCATACTCAAAAATCTGTAACGATTATGGATAAAACACACTATCCACACCTGCTAAGAAATGAAGCTTAGACATGCAAATCAACCACTGCTCAAAATAATGTGATTACATTGGTTTCCTGGCTGTTGGTATCATGCAACATCACTTCATGGCAGAATTCATGCTTCTCAACACCAATAAATCCGTTGGATTTTCTCCCAGCTACTGATCCAGCCTTAGAAGAACATACTGAATAATTTTCTCCCTAATGCTAAATGTCTTAATGTTAGTGAAAACTGTCTTACTTATCCTTATGTTGAATTGAACTGTGGCATATTGACAAACACTACTAATCTTCCCTCAACAAGAACAAGGAGCATCAAATTCTCATCTTGCATTCCTAATAGGAGAAGTTGCCTCTACAATTAAGATTCCAGGAATTTTGTGCAAAATGCAGGGTATTAGACCTGGTGATAAGACTTCAAAAAGTAGGCTAGTGCCTGTTTTGAGAAGCTGGAAAACATAGTTTCTAATGTTAAACTCACTGTGACTCCTGCTACCGAAGGTCAATGTACAAATACGAAACTAACTGACCTGCAAGTTGACGATGAAGCTGAAACAAGCTCTCAGCATCGGAGAGCTGTCGTGTAAGGCTGAATGACAGGGCAGCAGGACACCAGTAGGCAGGTATATTCAGACTACATTTGTCAATCAGGCTGTATGATTTCCAAGCTTTCATCATACAGCAGTGGGAAATAAACCCCACCATAAGCGGAAGGTCCTGCTCTGATACAGTCCGGTACATCCACGCTTATCTAGCTCACTGAAATCTGAAAGATAGCCTCTCATTTCATCATCAACCCCACAAATTACTTAAGATGGCGATTATAAACCACCATTCTGTCAGAAAGGTAATTTTTTTTCAGAACGCAGAGGAACTAAGAGAAAAGACAAGAACCAACAGGGTTTGGGTTACGCCAAGCCCAACGTAACAGCACCAAGCGCAGCCTAAGGCGTCGCGCTCAGGCAGCTCTAACAGGCTGAGCACTCACACCCACGCAAGGCTCGCGTGGTGCGGGGGTAACCGGGGCGTGACGGCAGCCGAAGGGCGCGGTTGCTTATGTTTCCCTCGTGTGACAGAGCCCACCCGAGGGGCCCGGCCCGCCCCGCTGCGGCAAGCCCCGCGCTAGGGCCACGGCGACC